CTGCTTTCTGATGAATGACCTTCTTGATGGTGCCCCTGATGGCAATGCGGGCCAAGTCCTGGAGGCTGCGGACAGCCAATGGTGGTAGCTGAACAAGTCTGGACTTTCCTGACTCTGAGTGGCAGGGCTGGACCAGAGGAGCGAAGGAAACAGGCAGAATCTTTTTGGTTTCCCAAGCAAAAGGGCCTATGCACGTTATCTTGGTCAACTTCTCCTCCAGGGGCATGACCAGAATTCCTTCAACCTTGAGAAGACTCTTCATGTACTCTTCATGTTCTTTCTGCACACCTGCTCCACAGTACACCCGATCATACTGAGAACAATCTGGGGAAATCGCCAGGCAATTGCCACTAACAAAAGAGGGCTCGCAGAAGTCAAACTTGTCGAAGCTATCACATGTTCTGATGAAGAAGTCCAGTTTCTGCTTTGCATACTCTATAAGATCTGAATGTAGCTCCACCACATAGTTCACACCAAAAGGACCTAGAATAAGGCCCACCATGGAGCTGAGGTAGCCAGTGCAACTGCCCAGGTTCAGAAATGAGAGCCCAGGCTGCAGATCCAGAGCCTCCATCACCTCTGAGTAGATACATGGGGCGGAGTGGTGAATGTTTCCATGCTTCCATGCCAAGTCCTTGTAGGCATTTTCTTTAAACTCTTCAAGATAATAATCTCCACGATCCATAGCTCTGAAAGCCTGCTCTACCAGTTCCGTCCGGATATACTGGGCTCCCTTCAGATTATCAATCAGCTCATCATTGTCCTCTCCAGCACTCACCACACTGCCCATGTTCAGAATGACACTCAGGCAAGACTCCTTGCTCAGCGGCCCGCAGGTCTGGGCCGCGACGGCAGCTGCTCAGGCGCTTCCCTGGATGTCTGCGCCCCGTTTTCACCCAATCTTGATGATTCTTTCAGGTAATGATCAGTACACCAATCCCACTTGGCTCACCAAGTTTCATTCTTCTAGGTTAAACCACTCGTTGGCAGTAACCGTTTTCATTTTTAGGTTACACTCTGTTTTGTCCTATAGAGATACATGTATTTCGAACTCTAAATCAAACACTGTTTGTGCTAGCTGTTTGAAACTAGACACAATAAAGCAGTTTCAAGTTCTATCTCTATGGTTTGTTTGCTGTTGATGTAGCCCTAAGCAGAGACTGG